CTCGCGAACCGGTTGGTCGGCAAACCCGGAAGTAAGTAACTTCCGGGAACGGCGAAGAGCCCAGCCCGGTTGGTCGGCAAACCCGGAAGTAAGTAACTTCCGGGAACGGCGAAGGGCCCACCCGCGCCCGCGCGCACCCGCGCCCGCTCCTTACCCGGTTTTGACGAATTCTGCGCTTCCACGCATGCGCAGGACGCATACAGCGCCTGCGCGATCCTCCAGGAGCAGCTGGAGCATTGCACAGACGCTAGTACGCATGCGTGCGCCACGCGCGTGCACGCGCGCACCGCACGCGTGCGTGAGGATGGCGCACATGTGCGCGAGGACGCCGCCGGCCTCGTTCCAACCGAACCGGTTGGAACGGGGCGAGAAACCCACCCCTGGGACTGGGCCATGGTGCCTCTGCCTGAGAAATGGAGAAATGCAGCCCTCCTGAGCTCCATTTTTGCTGGCAGAGGGTTGCAGGAGGCCGTCGCAGCCAGAAACAAAGCTCAGGAGCCAGTTTTCGCTGGTAGAGCACTCGGGCCACCCCAGACATCTCGACACAAATGATGTTGGGCTGGCCATGCCCACCCTGCCCATGCCCAACCCAGCCTCGCAAGGTCAAACACAATCCTGGTGCAGCCCTCCAAAAAACTGAGTTTGACACCCCAACCTAGATAAACAATAGGGACTCACATCCACTGCAGAGACCTCCATTAACGGAAGATTCACCTTGGGTAAGAATGCATTGACCATGGTCTTCTGCACCAAATGAAGTGGGATTGTTTCCTGGATCACTGTTATAGTGGATTCAGTGTTTTCAGCTACATAACCCAACAACAATGAAATCTTACACTGGACGATCACTTCAACCGTTGTCTTGAGAGACCCATACAGATTGTTTGCCAAGCACTGATATTTCCCAGCATCCTTTGGTCCAATTTCACGCAGCTGAAGCCTCTGCTGTGTGGGACTATCAATTTGCTGGTTCTCCTTCATCCAGGATAGAGTGGGAGGTGGTGTACCATCAGCAGTACAAATCAGGGTGACAGTGTTTCCTTCCTTGGTTATCACAGGGTTGAGTGGCGAAGATGGGGAGCCTGCAAGGATTTAGGAGCATCAGTTAGGGAACTACCCAAAACTGCAAACTGGAAGCCTCCTCCCCAGATTTGACATAATTTCAGAAAAACAAGGTAGTTGGAAGATTTGGTTGTTTGGTTTCATTTGTGAAGTATATAATGCAAACAACCTTGACCTTGTAAAAAAAAATGGGGGGGGGATGCTGCTTATGGAAGGATCAGATAAAAGGGGAGAAGGTTTCCAGCTTGCAAGAACATTTGACAACCAAGCAGAGAATCCGCCCTCTGTATTGTGCTTGAAGGGGTCTGCAAAAACATCCATGGTTTGAAATCTCACCAGAGCCTCTGTTGTTCACTCTGATGATAGTGACTGTCTGGATTGGTTCTGAAACACAGGAAGAGGAAAAGTTAAAGTTCCAAGAAGGTATATAAAGTCAGCAAGCTCATAGAGGACAGGGTCAGCTGTCTCAACTTGTCCCGTTAGAAAAGAAAGACTCTCGACTCCTTCCGTAGTGAAAGTATATTTAACTAAAGGCAAGCGGTTACAGCGTGGCAAAGCCGAATCTGATTTTTCACACCCAAAGCATCGGATTAGCTCTTCCCTTCTCTGCACCTTCCCCCTTGGTTTATCTCCTCATGTCCAACTGCTTTCAAAGAAATTGTTTTGGTAGCCGTCCCTGGCTTGGCAGGCTGGAAGGTGTTGCATTCCATGACGTGACACCTTGGACCAGCCAACACTTCTTATAGGATGGCACGATGTGTAATTTCAATTCCCCCTTATCCTAACCCCTTGCCTCCCTGCAGCCCAGCTCTCCCCTCCCCCCACAGTTGTAATGGCAGACTGGCATCTAACAAAACATAGCTGGCAGGGCAGTATGGCGATCTTGACAGACAGAGGAACGAGAGGAGGCTTCAATCACACAGCCACAGTGGCTATCTTGGTTTTTTTCACTCATACCTCTGAATAGCTGTTCTCCTAGATATGGGGCAAGGGTGAAATCCAGCAGGTTCTGGAGAACTGGTAGTGGAAATTTTGAGTAGTTCGGAGAATCAGCAAATACCAATAGCAATAGCAATAGCAATAGCAA